CTCGGACCATTGTCCGGCTGAAACACCACCTCTCTCATTTCGAGCCTGTCAATATCTATTGTTGAGAGCAATTCTTCCTCGAGAATGCTTGTATACACCATGGCATATATCCTTCCTTGTATTTTAATTACTGTGAGTTTAATTGTACATTTTAGGGGGGAAAATGCAATACACTATCCGCACTTTTCTTGGCAGAACGAGAAAGAGCCCCTATTGAGCTGCTCTCATGATGAGATAACGGCATCCAGCGGAGAAGAACCTGTGAAGAAGTGAAGAGTTTAGAGAAGTGAACTATCCGAGCTGGATCTCATCCGCATTCACCGATATCACTTTCATCTATGAAACTCCGCCATCAGGCTGCTCCCAAAACCCTTTTCAAACTTTGGAAGCTTTGCGGGCATTGAAATCCGGCAACCTTCTTAATAAAAACATGTCTTTTCCCTAGCAGAGGCGACCGGATGTTCTTCCCTTCACTCCCAGGAAAATCACATTGATTTAATTTCAAGTGTCAACTGTTCAACCTCGAAAATGACCTTGTAAAATGGCACAAGGGAAGTACAAAATGCCAAATGCCAAATATCGCTGACATACGTAGTTGCAACGAGAAGACGTCCTCTTGCCCTTCACAGTGCTCCTGCGATGGTTCACGAGGAATTTATCGGCGATTCACAATCATCTGTATTAATAAACTCTTTTCCTTAATAACCAGCGTCTGTCAAAGAGTTATTTTACGATTGTAGAACTGCCACTATCGGAATTAATCGAAGAAAGTCAACGAGGTCACTCTCCACTTGATGTTCCTCTTTCTTTAGGTGCGTTTGAATCGGAGGGGGGGGGGGGGATTTCATTCAGTTTAATAAGTTAAAACTTCGACGATGGCTTTCAGGTTCAGTTCAGGGCGAGGGCTCACACCGAGGCAGCCTCACCCCTTTTCTTCATTACTAAGCTATGGAATTATGAAATAATTGGTAAAATAATCATGCTCATGCTCATGTATCCACAAGCCATCTTTTTCAATGCTCTTTTCGTGCTTCTGCCATTCTTCCAGTTTATTGAGTTGGCGATAGATAATTATTCGCATTAATTGACGTACACCACGAAGTTAATCTCTTTCCCTGCTTCCTTCCACGATTTTTCAGGCCGATTTTAAAACTGCCATGTCCTGATGAAATTTCAAGAGAGTCAGCATCACGTCTTTCCTGGTCAATGTCGTTCTCGGTCATCGTGCATGCATGGGGGGATGTGGAAAGTCTCGGTCCCAAACTGGGAAAGGTTGAGGAATCTTGGAAAAGAGACCAGTCAGGATGACTTCTTTCAGACTTCGTCCTGTTACATTACAGCATTATTTAACCGGAACACATGTACATGCGCAGGGTTCGATGGTATTAAAGTGAAGAAGAAAAGTTTGAACGCTTCCTAGTTTACGCGGTGTATTCGATCTTGCACCGATACCTTTATGAATCACCTTTTTTCCCCCAATTTCTGCATAGATTCCCGATCAGTTTCAGTTGATGTAAGGAAAGGGAGGATCAGACTTGGACCCGCAGCTGCTCCGATCCATTGTCATCCCTTCTTTTCAATCGCTTAGTTTTGCTTTTGCCCTAGGAGACCTTGAATAATGTTACCATGCCAAATTCTGTCATTAAAATTCCCAGATATTTTCCATCCAAGCGACCTTAATTATACACATCCTAGAGAGCTTGTTTGCCCATCGAGAAAGCAACAGACTAAGGTCGCGCCATCGGCGCTCCATTATCCGCGCTATTGATTCATTCATTAATTTCCTTTCAAAGTTGCGGAATGGTATTAAAAGTACAGTACATATCTGTCAAGATGCGTGCCGAGAGAGAACGAACCGAAATTTGCATCCAAATAATTTGCACCCATTTATTTGTTTTGTGACTAACTTGAAATCTCTTCATATTCTGTCACGAGGGGTAATATTTGACAAATTGGATGTGTACTTCGCATTCCAACTGGTACTTCGGCTCCAAGTCTCAACTTTCTTTTGTTCTCTATTTCAATGGATGAGAAAAGATTATCAATTTCTTATGAGCGAAAATGAAGATCTCAAAAATGTTCGGGAATAATTGGTAGAAAGATTCCTTCGTGACCTCTCCAGTCGGCAACATTGCATGCCATGAAATAAAAATGGACCTCAGGAGCGATCGAGGGAGGAATGTCGATTTTGACCCTCATTTCATGTCGCCATTGCGAGGATGTACTTCATCGTGATTATTTCCATGGAGTGCAAGAAGAAGAAAACATATCTTGTGCGTTGCGTTGTCATATGGGTCTCATTTAATTTCTAAGGTGAAAGACACAATCGAATAAGTTTCATTTCTTAATTCTTCCCCTATAGAATTTCTTTCAGAAAGGCAAGATGCTAGCGCTTCTCTCCTGTTTCCCTTCCATATCCTCTATGCAGACAATAATGCTGTTATCATAGGACGACATATCCAGCGAGTCAGCATGATCCTCGACCTTCTCACCACCTCTAAAATTCCTTGATTTGTTTTTTTTTTGCATAATCTTTAAAAGCAGAGGTCAACGAGCAACAGTGTCAGTTTTGCTTTGCAGAGCAGTCTTCAACCATGGAGGGGCATAACATCTCTGGTGCACTCAATCCGGCTCATTCGGGTATGCGTTCCTTCGTATTCGTTGTGTCTATTGGGTCCTTGAAGTCTTTTTGTCCGTGGAGGCCATTGAGCCGTGAGAAAAGGGAGAAAATGAACTCTCAATGCCTTGAAGCCTCTTTACGAGCAGGTTCTTCAGAAAATGCCGCACATCTCGTCGAGGTCCACCAAGGAGGAAAAAAAAAAAAAGCCTCCGGTCCCGCCTCCGCTTCGACGAGAGAAGACAACCGAAATCCGTTTCGATTCTAGTTTTTCAGACATCGATTCTCCCGGGGGAAAACTTGCTAGGAAGAGTGGGAGAAGATGCCTCGAGATGCATCAAAGTGGAGCCACGAGGAAAAGGAACGCGATGGGGAAAATAAAATGCATACCATGAAAATCTTGCGAGTTCGTTACCTTATTAACCAAACAGCCCACCGTATTTTTTTTCGCCTGGCTCCATCGGATACTTTTCATGCCGATTCGAAGACTTCACGAGAAACGCGAAATCGGTGGCTTCTCCGGTAGCATTGCAGAGAGACGTTAGACGAGCAGAGATGAGGCAGGGAACCTCGTTCGACGCTGATCGAATGAATATCGAGACGCGTGCTCGCACCAGAACCCATTCCGCGATGGAACGAGATCGTTCAGCAGGAAATCTTTTTTATGGGAATCCCAAACGAAGAAGTATTGTTCGCTTCATTCGCCGGCTCCCAGAGCCAACCGGCTCCCAGAGCCAGGAAACTAAAGCATCACTTTCTCTCATCCATCGGCGTCAACGTATTTGACCCCGTTTCGCATCGCGAATAGGAGCAGCAATGGAAAGGGACGAAGGGATAATAAGGTCCATGGGGAGTCGCGTTAGGCACTCCCGTTCGCGAACGGGACGAGACTGATTGGGTATCCACGAATGTCGAAGAGTGGAAAAGTGTGATTTACCATTACGGCCGCCGGTTTTAACGGACTTTTGGAACTAACAGATGCGCTCGTTGGGGACGGCGTCGATGCCGGAGGATCGTTTCTCAAGACATTGCAGGGGATCGACAGCCACTTCGTGGCCGGCTCGTGGATCCTCTCGCTCGGCCTCCTCTTGGCGTGGTACAACCTCACTCGATGGCAGCGCAGCCGGCTGGACCATGATTCCACTCCGTTCCGTTTCTCCATCCGGTTCTTCCCCAGCGTCTGGGCCCTGGACTTCTGGGCCGTCTTCATCTTCTTCATCGGAGCGATCATCGGTGAGTATCGTTCCAGCATTCGNCGCCTCCAAAGAGGCAGCCTTCCTCGTCGCAATAGCACTCGAATGGATCTCCATCAAAAATCATCACTTACCTAGCCCTCTTCATAATGCGGTAAAATCATTCATACGCTCTTTTTGCCGGTTCTTAATTGCATTTGAAGTGGATTGGATTAAAGTAGTTCAATTGCATTGGATTCTAGAGGGGAAAAGGTTTTGAATTTGATAGATATGCACCATTGCATTCGGGTTGCTCAGGAATTTTCATTTCAGAAGCCATTAATAATTCAGTAGAAAAAATTAAGTATTTCCCAATCACTCTGAAGAGGGACAAAGGCAACGATGATGCTTCTTGCATATGCACTCCAGCGTCCAGAATTAATTTTCCGATTCGAAAATGCATGGATTGGAATATAGCAGCCGAATGGAAGATTTTCTTTTCGATATCTATTGACGACAATCTAAATTCGGCTTTTGATTAATGGAATATGAGAGATGAAGTCCTGAGGAAGAACACCGGAAATTTATTAGGTTCACGGATTTCTCGATGTTTGCTTTACGAAGTGAAGGATGTGGAATCGCCCTACCAGCAAAACGCAAGTCACGTAAATCTTGTGCTAATTATCAATAAGCAAATAATTATATTTAAAGTCTAGCATGATTCCGAACTCTTTGCATTTCACTATAACCGAAGGATGCTTCTTCGTAGTTGTCAGTGATACATTTCTCGTCAAAGAAGGGTTTGTTACCAGTGAAGTATGACTGGTTCGTAACGTGGGACTGCAGGATTCTAAAGAGAACCTCGTTACCCTTCCAGATGCACATGTGCTTCCTATACGGGATATCGTTCGGGGTCATTGGTGTGTTCTCCGTCCTCGTCCAAAACGCCACCGTCCGCCCAGCATCCCCGCACTTCCCTCCAATGTCCTGCAGCGTCCTCCCCGGCCTGCTCCTCTGCTTCTCCCTGATACTGCAGGGGACGTGGAACATCCAGATCACAACGATCGTGCAACAACCGTGGATCAACGCCTGGAATTTGAACAGCCCGGAGCACGTCTTGCTCATCATGTCCTACTGGTGCTTCCATGCCATCTTCGCTGCGGCCCTCCTCTTCGTCCTCGTGCTTGTCACCGAAAGGGTTGTCAAGTGCAAACTGAGGAAGGACAAAACTGCCTTTCAGGTTCGTCCGCCACCACGCGAACGATGACTACTTGCGAATTCATTATTTCCACCATAAATAAGTGTACTCATTACTTTATCCACTCATGTTACAGTGGTGCAGGAATATATAGGGTGATTTAAAAAAACGCCATATCGTTTTCCATGGGAGAAAGTCATATTCATATATTCTGGAAATTATAAGAAAGATAAAATCTTTATGTTTGGCATATACGAACTGTTGGGATGATTGCCCAAGCAACATGTTTACGTAAACAATATATCAATTCCTTGCAAAAAATGTAAATTTCTTGCGATTGCCATGAAAATGACATCACTTTTACGTAAAATTTACGCTACTAGATTTACGTCACCAAAGTGTACGTGTTTTTATTTTACATAAACTAGACGTCACTCCATTTGACGTGAAGTACATGATATCACTCTTATTCAAAATTAACGCCACAACATCCATATGAAGCTTTAGCTGACCATCCCGCAGTTGCAGTACCAAGACTCCTCACAAGATGGAACCCTTGGTCCCTGCATCCGACAAATACTATTAAGTACTGGCTTTCCTGATGGAATATTCGATTTTCTTACCATCCTTCCACTTTTTATTATTCAATCCATGAATATATATA